GAATGGACGCGATAGAATCGCCATAGAATGAGGGCGACCGAAGCGCTAGGCACGGGGACGTCTTGAAAGGCGAGGGCGGCACCGCGCCGCCTCGGCACTGCCGACGTGGACGTTGTGGACAGGGCAGTGGGGATGGCCGTGGCCGGCGTGGCGATGGCAATCCAAAGCAATGACATAAAAGGGGTGCCCGGCCAGCGGGCCGAGTCCGAGACGTCTCTCGCACCCACATGGGACGCCTCGTGGGTGTGAGAGAGACAGAGCGACGAAGACGACTCTCGGAATCGGGCCGCAGGCCGCGGCAGGCCGGCCAGGCTGGGGGTTGTCCCGGCCGTGCGCTGGCCGCGGCCGCGGAGGCCGTCATACAGGCCGTGCGCGTCCCCGGGCGAGGACATGGACGCACCGCCGTGCCGCCGCCGCGCGCTGCACCGAATGCTGTGCCTCCTGGGGAGCCGCAAGGGAGGGTGAGTCTGGGTCACCGAGTCGCGTCCCCTGCAGACTGATTCCGATAGTCGTTTTCGTGTCTCTCTCGCACTCATCGGGTGCCCCGTGTAGGTGCGAGAGAGGCAGAGCGATGAAAACGGCTCTCGGAATCAGTGTACACGATCCATCGCCTGTTGGCGGGTCGTCCTCTGGCTCTCGGCCCCCCGCGTGGCCGGTAGCACATCCAGGCACGGACGCCCCGTGAGTGTGAGAGAGACAGAGCGACGAAGCACGTTCCGGAATCAGCCTGCTGCTAAACGCTGTGTGGCGGCAAACGTAAACAAACTAGGGTCGTGTTGTTTTTATTATCGGCCCGGAGGCCTTCCTGGGTCTCGCCGCAACCCGCTGCCTCCGCCGCGCCGCGCGAATCCAAACATCCGGAGGGAATGACCACCGCACTGGCCAGTCGCGAGGGGCAGGGCCTGCCCGGCAGGCACCGCAGGCACAGGGCCACCATTTTCCTAACAACGGGGTTATGCAGCGATTTTCGGCTACCGTTTTGAAATTTGAACGCCAAAATTTGGCAAGCTTGGCCCGGAAATACCCCCCAGCTTGCCAAAATTTGGCAAGTTAATGAAGATTTCCGACCGAAACTTGCGAAATTTTGGCATTCAAAACGGCTCGCCAATTTTGTGGCAAGCAAACGTACCACTGGCTTTGCAGTGCATACATAGTACAAACTCATTTACTTTGTAATACGAATTAAGAAATAGTTCGTAAATTACGAAGTTTTTTCTTTGCAAGCTTATGTATGCTCAAAATACTCTGTTGCAACAAGCTGCTTTTCTTTGGAAGGCGTAAGATATTTTGTAGGGTTTTCTCAGTGTACCTCCAGGTGGTTAACCACCCCCATCCCCTTTTTAATCCGCCCCTGGCAAGGGGTGTCTGACGGGAGTAGCGGCGGCAGAAACCCGCGCTGCACGCCGACAGGTAGTCGACCCACCACCGCGGCGCACCAACTAGCGACGCCATTCAGTCGTTCGCACCGCGTTTTATGAAAGTTTGAAAGAAATGCTCCTTAATGTTCGCCGCTGCCGGACAGACCCAATTTCTCCCTCTCCCTGTCAAAATTTTCGATAAAATCAGCCCCTTGAACCGTCAAATTCAGCAGGTTTAGCTATCACGCTGCTATTAGCTATCTACTATTACGCTAGTACACCCCGTCGACTGGTCCGCTCCGCTTCCGTCCACTACTGTCGTTAGCGTCGAGTTCTTCTGACTGCTGCAAATTGCCTAGAGCCTTTAGGGCCCTCAGTACCCTTAGAGGGGTATTGACGTGACCCCCGCGGGGGCCCCGCCCCGCCACTTTGGGTTGCACGCGACTAGCACGCGACCAGCGTCCAAAGGGCAATCCCTCCGTAAGTACCACCACTGTTTGATTCGAGGGTCGGATAGTTCGGCAGGTCACGGCCTTCCGTTTATAGCGAGCGAGTAAGTCTTCCGTGACCGGAGCCGAGAGTGGGAAGTGCCGAAAATAGGTTTGGTCCCTTTGGCGTGATTTCGTCACTGGCTCGTGGAAAGGCCGTGGCGGCAGCGGGTGTCACACGCGTCTTTCTCTCTCTCTCTCTTCTCTCTCTCTCTCTCTCTCTCTCTCTCTCTCTCTCTCTCTCTCTCTCTCTCTCTCTCTCTCTCTCTCTCTCTCGTGTCCTGGGCGATGCGGGTGGCCCCCGACGAGGCCATGCCGTCGACGGCAACAGGCCCAGATAGTAGTTTTCCTGTCGTGCCCGTCAAGGGATTGGCCTGGCACCATTTTCGCTCTGCATGCGCCTTGACGGGCTCCTTTGCCAATGTGTCGAACAAACAACACGTTTCCTTCGTCGGGGTAGAGGGAGGCCTGAGGCAGAAGCCTGTAGGCCAGGCAGAGCGCCGCCGCACAGTGGGCCAGAAGACCGGTGGAGGCGGCCAAAACTCTAGACGCGTTTTGAGCTCCAGAGTCGCTAAATGGGACTCGAACCGAACGTGTGACCCCACCCGAGGGGTCGGCAACTTCCCTTGGCCGTGTACGAGGGAGTATACGTATATTACCAGTAATATAGGTAATATATGTGTAATATAAAGTAATACAAAGTAATATATAGTAATATGGGGGTATTATAGAGGCGAAATTGTGGTAATATGCAAGTAATATATGGTAATATACAGGTAATACACGGGTAATATAGCCACCGCGTACGAAGTAATATATGAGTTGCCGACCCCTCGACCCCACCAATGGATGGCTCTCCGAACGAGGAATCCATTGGTGGGGTCACACGCTCGGTTAGAGTCCTGTTTAGCGACTCTGGAGCTCGAAACGCGTCTAGAGTTTTGGCCGCCTCCACTGGTTTTCTGGCCCACTGTGCGCCGCCCCCCCCCCCCCTTTTCCCTCCGACCGGAGACGAGGGGGTCACAAATATTGACGGCTGGAGTTGGCTTTCGTTATCTGTATACACCTACCCGACGTAGACCGGACTTGCATCGACCCATCCGCCGTTCGGGTTTCGCTGCCAAGTTTCCCCCCTTTCCACCCTTTTTCGCGCGAAGGGCTAGTAGGGCGCGCTTCTGGAGACTTGTCGCTCGGCACAACCGCTCCGTCAGGGACGCCATTGACGAGCGTGTAGAATGAGGGCGTGCGTGTGTGTGTGTGTGTGTGTTATTCGTGTTCCGGCACACTTTTATTTTCCTAATAATTATTTCAGCAGATGGCAGCAACAGATCGGCCCGGCCGCACCAGCATTGAAACGCGCGCGATCGATTTTGATGGCCTCTTTCACTGGGGGGCCAAGACGCGCGCAGACGCGCGACAGCCAAGCCAACCAGGTGGCCAAGCCCTCGCTGTATAGTGTAGCCGCGCTAAGTGCTCGTCACCTCGGTCCCTGCAGACTGATTCCGAGAGTCGTTTTCGTCGCTCTGCCTCTCCCTCGCACTCTTGGGGTGCCCCCTCTGGGTGCGAGAGAGACAGAGCGACGAAAACGCCTCTCGGAATCGGTCTGCAGGGCGTCCCGGTGCGCCCCGCCTGGCCCCGCCCTAGTCCAACAATCCTCACGCGGACCCAACACCGCCATGGCCCGCCACTCCCCCTGTGTCCCGGGTCGCTCCGCCTCGCTTATCAACGTGCGCGGACAACAACAACAACCTCATCATCATCAACAACTATAACATGAGTTCGCGGAAGGCCTTGTGCCGAAGCCTCCTTCGAGGCCGCCATTCGAACTGCTCGGCTGGGCTCGCCTGGACTCGGCATGCCTTAAAATGATTTTCAGAACCGAGCCGAGCCTTTTAGCAGAGTGATTTAGCGCGGGTGCTAAAAATTGTTTTGAGCTCCTGCGAGATAAGCTGATATGAGGAAATCCTCAGCAAGGTGCTTGGGCACGTTTGCTACAGCGCAAAAAAAATTTTCAGAGCGTGAAAACAGCGGAAAGCTTTATAGCTGCATTCGTACAAATAGCTGCGCTTCGAGTTATTTTTTTTTTTTTTAGCCTGTCGTAGGACATTGGGTCTGGGTGGGAGTCTAGAGTGTAGTAGCCCCGTCGTTAGCGCGTTTGGACACACTGGCACGTCGCGCTGCTGAGCCAAGCAGGCCAAGCCGGCCACGCCGAGCGGAATGCCCGACGAAGCGCTTTCTCCTGCAGGCCCATGCAGGGCCTCGTCGCTCTGTCTCTCTCGCACTCATGGCCCGTGTCGCGGGGGTGCGAGAGAGACGGAGCGATGAAGCCGTCGTCCGAGGCGCACGCGAGCGCAAGCGCGAATTAAGAGCGATGAGGTGGTGCAAGTGAGGGATGAAGCGGCAGCACGCGAAGCACACGCTGCAGGCCGCTTCCGCCAACAGTGCGCCGCGCTGTCTCTCTCGCACCCGTGGCGCGTCCCCTGTGGGTGCGAGAGAGACAGAGCGACGGGGCACTTTGCGGAATGAGACTGCTGAGACCGCCGTCAGCGGCCTTCTTCGTTGGCCTGAAAGGGCCTGAAAGGCGCCTCTTGATCCAGTGTCAGTTCTTTATGAACAGACTTGAACCCCGGCGTGTACACTGTGGCCCGTCCTCTCTTCGTGCAAGGTCAAGTCAAAAGTCGGGGGCTCGGCCTTTCGGCCTTTTGACTCCACGACAAAGGCATCCTTGAGCTCGGGGCCCACTAGGTGCGGTGAGGGCACTCCTTCCTCTGTCGGCGTCCTCGGCGTGGAGCGCCCGGCAGGTAGGCCACCAGTCCGTCCCGCGACACACGGCTGTGGAGGTGGTTGCCTACCTTGCCATTACCATTACGGGCTAGCCCCTGCCAGTGCAGTCGTCGCGCCAGTCCAGCTGGCTGCTTCGAGACTCTCGAATCGAGCTCCTCTATACAGCTGGCTGGCCCGGCTGCCCCGGACCCCGGACTTGGCCCGTCGCCTGTCGGACCGAAACCAACTGAAACGTACGCCGATCTAGCCGCCAACGGCGGCGGACCAATCAGACCGTCCAGCGAGCGGGCGGCGGTTGGCGGCGGTCGAGACAACGCCGGTGGCTGCACCGCGCTAACGCACTGCTAACACACTGTTTGTTGTCCTCCAGGTGCGGTGGGATGGGCCGCGTGCTCGCCGGCGTGCTGATGGTGTGCCTGTCGCTGCCGTGCTACGTGTGGTACGCGGGCCAGACGCCGTCCTTCGCGCCGCCAGGGCCAGGGCCCCATGCCGCCCCTCTGGTCGCACAGCCGACCGTACCGCCGTACCAGCTGCTCAACGAGTCGCAGCCGGCGCCGTTGGAGGAGCTGCTCGGCCTGGCGGACGACGACGCTGTGTCCCTGATCGACGTCCGCGGCTTCCGTTGGCTGCTGCCGCCGCCGTCCGCGCCCACGGGCCCCACGAGGCCCACAGGGCCCACAGGGCCCACAGGGCCCACAGGGCCCACGGCGCCCGCGGCCCCCGGCGTGTGCGCGCCGCTCGTCCTGGTGCTCGTGCACACGGCCACGGACCACACCGAGCACCGCCGCCTGATCCGCGAGACCTGGGGGTCCTGGGGGTCGCAGGGCCAGGCGCACGCCGGGGAGGTGCTGGTCCGCTTCCTGGTGGGGCAGACGGCGGCCAGCGACGCCGGGGTGGAGGAGCAGCGTCGTCTGGAGGAGGAGGCCGCCGTGCATGGCGACGTGGTGCAGGGCTCCTTCACGGACGCGTACCGCAACATGACGTACAAGCACGCCATGGGGCTCAAGTGGTTCGCCACCAAGTGCCCCAACGCCAAGTACGTGCTCAAGGTGGACGACGACGCGTTCGTCAACACCCCCGTGCTGCTGGACTTCGTGCGGCACGCGCTGTCGCCGCACGGCGCCCGCCGCCTGCTGGCGTGCACCGTGGTGACGGGCGCCCGGGTGCGGCGGTCGTGGCGCTCCAAGTGGCGCGTGGCGTACGGGGAGTTCCCCGGCCACCAGTACCCGGACTACTGCGAGGGCTGGGCCGTGCTGTACTCACCCGACGTGGCGCTGGCGCTGTACCGCGAGCTGCAGCGCGGCCCGTACTTCTGGATCGACGACGTGTACGTGACGGGCGTGCTGGCCGCCAGGCTCGGCTTGGCGCACGCGGCCTGGGACCCCCTGGTGCTGACGGCCGGCGACCTGCCCCGCATGCTGTCCGGGGAGCAGCGGCCCGCTTTCATGCTGGCCCTGTGGTACAGCACCAACATGGACATGGCCACGGAGCGGCAGCTGTGGGCTCGCGTGGTCAGCGACACGGAGCGAGCGCGCGCCCTCAACACGACGTGGACGCCGTCGCGGCGCCTCTAGATTGCCTCCAGCCAGTGTAGGCGCGCCACTGCCCGCTGTGGTGGCGAAGTGAAGGCAGAGCCGACGCCGGAGCCACCGGCAGAGACGCCGCTTAGGAATCAAATTCCGAAAGTGCCAGTCGGTTTGCCTCTTACTCACTGTCGGTATGTTTTGTGATCTCAAAGACTGATAGTTATTGGATTGATTTTCTCGTGACAGAAACCTGACTGTTATTTTGTGCTCGTGATAAAGCTCAAGTACTGCAGGCGGTACAGAAAACAAAGTTCTCACTCCTTTTTTGTTGTTGTTGTTGTGTGTGTGTGTGTGTGTGCGGATTAGGAGCTCATGATTGAACTTGTGTTGTCAACACAAGTGTTTGAAAGAAAGTAGATTGTTTTCTTGTAATTTGACATGAGGAAAGAAACCACAGTAACCACATAATATTTGAATATTTATTTTATTTGATCTCAGAATTACAAGCATGATTTCTGTTTGTTGAAGTTACTTATCTTCAAGATGCTCAATTTATGTTCAATGTACAGAAATAAACAGATGTTAAACTTAAAGTCGCTTGAATGTAACCAATCTGTCTCCTTTTCACCAAAACATCCAGTCATTAGTAATCTCAATCTACCCTTAATTATAACAGGGTTCCATCCTCCGTTCCATCCAGTTTACAATGGTGATGACTTCAACATCTAACACAATACTACATACACTCATTTTCAGAGAAAATCGATAGATAATGTAACACTAGAAAGGGCTAATGACTTAGAACATTCTAGAACAATGAGGGCAGTTGAAGTTCCTTAGCTTAGCCAGGGGCAAAAAGTGATACTAAGTACACCACAAAACATAATAAGAATGAAACTGAATTGTAACATAAATGTTACACGATCTACAGAGTTTAGAGGCGTACAGCTGACATGCTCTCTCACAAATACAATCACTAAACCATGTCACAAGGAAAGCCAGTCACTAGTTCTACCAAAATAAGAAACAAATATAAAATCTTAAATTATCTTATCACATTGCTCAATCTAAAATTTAACTTAAATCTTTATCACTAAGGTATTTGACTACACATAAAAGGATTGAACAAAGAAAACAATGGTTACCTATACTGAAATTTGGTAAAAGTAAGCTATAGCTAAAGCTTAAAGTATGAGGAATTCACCTGATTTTCGTTATTACAACATAGACAACTCAAGTTCACCTCAGAAAAAGTATTCGGACAAGAACAAACATTTTTAAACAAGTATTGGTAAATAGAGATGCCAAAATTTAAAAGGAAATGAAACTTTAACAAAGAAATGATCAAAGTGGCAGTGACTTAATTAAATTCTCGGTTAGGGAGAACAACTGGGGCAATTAGGGTCCACAAATAAAGTCCCATACACATCCAGCTGGAAATCACCTTCACCCACATCGATGCATCGTTGGAGTTCAAGGTCGCCAAAGATGAGTTTGGCCTGCAGGACGAGCAAATGGTAATTTGGTCAAACAGGCATAAGAACAAATAAATCACTCTTGGGCATCATGGAAAATACTTACTGGTACCAGTTTGTCAGGGTCATCATAATGTACAGTGTAGACAGGCAAAAGGTAAGATGAAAGAAGGTCCATGAGTATGCGACACCCTCGTCCTCATTGTCCCAAACCTTCTGGCCACCGCGTCCATTGTCCTCAGTTAGGGTTCCTCGTTCTGCAAGCAGAAAAAAATTGAAAAATTTGAGCAGTTACTAGGGTAGAGAAAGCAACTAAACCTATGGAATTACATACATTGATGGGTATTAACACACAAAATTGGAACAAAATTCCATGGTGTTCTGATCTTAGCCTTATGAGTATTATGTGAGTGAACCAAAACCACTATTCGGATGGAAAAGATAAGATAAGAATGTGACAAGACTAACAGATTCTCAGTATGCCAAAAACTACTAAATAAATTAAGCATACAAATAAATGCTGTGACTGGGCACCCTCAAGGCTCAAGGACAGTAAGAAGAGTAATTCTCCTGAACTTTGCTACACTGCTAGATGGAGAGCTAGCTCATACCTTCATTATCAATCAGAGAGGCGTCACCTTGCATTGAGGGCCGAACTGAAGGCATAAGACAATAAATGTTTCAGTGTGTTGGAGAGCCACATTGTGTTGTGATCACTGTGTAGCATCAACTCAAGTGCTAGTGTTAAAAGTAGAACACAGCACTGTGTCAAATATCAATGGTTTGTGCAAGAAGCAACTGATGACTGACAAAATCATTCCCCTTTTCTTGGTCCTTGGTTACGTATCAGAGAGATTCACTTAAAAATAGACTATCTGAATCAAACTAACTTACCTCCACCATCCTTCACAAGCACATGCTCAGACATTGTAATTTTGGAAGACGAAGAGGCAGAACGAACAGACGAGTAGAGAATGCAGCACATCCAAATAACCAATCCAACTATGGCCTGTTGATCAAAGCCCACTTTGCTTGTAGTGGTTTTCCCAATTATTCCAAGCAATCCTGGGTTGCACTCTTTGTCTGAAATAAAAGAGACATGTGTCATCATTTTGATTAGGTGCAGAGTATTATTATTTTTATTAGACTTTCGACTCACCTGATGAGCTGGACAAGGCAGACCATGTGAGATATACAGTGTAAAGAGTTACAACAGATGACTGCAGGAGCCCAGACCGAGGCTGGCGTTCTTGAACAGCAGGAAGTATTGACGCAACACTCACACCAACAGCAAGGATGAGAATGAAGGAAATGAAGAACTTTTGCAATCCACAGTCACCGGGCTAGAAGGGAAAGAAAATTACAGTTAAAGAAATAGAATTTTTGCATGGCTTGAACGATGAAGATGCTTTCTACTGGCTTACCGATGTGTAAAAGTAATACAGAAGTGAGATACCAGTGATGCTCATGATGTAATTGAATGCAGAGGCAGAGAGTAGGGCAACATACCTAAGGAAAAGAGGTTTTAATAGTGATTACTTATCCAGCTTTCAAAAAATGAGAGAAAATTCAAATAGAGCAAAATTTGCAAATTCTATAAACATACCACCACTTAGATTCTGTTTCTTCATAGCGTCCTACCCAGCGTTCAGCCCAGGTGTGGGCAAAATCAATGATAAGAATCAACTGGATGATGATGAAAAGAAAACCACCAATCATGCCAAAATATAACCAAGTAGTGGCAAAGCTACTGTCTTCTGGAATATAAAATGCCCCAACAGCAAGGGCAATCACAACAAGGTACTTGAGCCCCCAAAAGCTGTAAACATGTTAAAGGAACATGAAATAACATACAGAAGACAAATAAATCACAGTCAAAATCACAAAAAGAAATAACAAACATAATTCAACAGATTGAAAAACAACGTACCCATTTTGTATTCCCGCTCGAGGATCCTTTGAAGACTTAACACCAAGCATGATGATACCCATCAGAGTAAAGAACATGGTCAGGGCAAAGCATAATCGGTACACTGCAAGATATCCCACCGCCTCTTTACAATCAAACCCAAGATGAACTGTGTCTCCTTTACAGAAGGGAACCTGTGACAGAGAAAAGCAAAGTAAATATAACTGGGGCATATCCTAATAAAGTCGTATGCACCAGCCAAGAATCACATTACCTTCTTTAACTCATCTTGCAAACCTGGGGCAAGCATGATACACCCAACGACAGTCCCAAGAAGGAGCATTATGGCATACATGATGCGTGTCGATGTTGAATTTCTGCATGCTGGGCATGCTGCACACAGCGAACATGCTGTGCTCCCACAACAACAAGCCAGCTGAAATACAAAACAAAAACATGTTCAAGTGAGGCTCCGTAACAACAAAGAACACATTATTATGCTTTGTTCGTAGGTTATATCTGGATCGAAAAAACTTCAAATGATGAGAAAGTAACACAATATGGTCATATAATGAATCAGGGAAGTGATGAATCACGCAGATAGGGAACGTAAATAAACGAACCTGAGCAGCAGAAAATAAGCCTAAAACGGCCCCCATGTTGATAGATCAGTCCACCACAAACAATGGTTTTGGTAGAAACACGTCCTGTAACAATCGCACGTAAAGTATGGCTAACAATACAAAAGAAAGAGCCTTAAAGAAACACACACACACACAGAAGATAATGGACTGTTTGTGCGATACCTGACAGTAAGGCAAGAAAGGTCCAGATAAAGTCTTGCCTTGCTAAAAGCCAACAGCCTACAGGGGGAAATCTAGGGGGAAATCTAGGGTATGGTATGGTGGCCTTCGCCTCAACAGCATGTTGGCCAGGGTATTTTCACCGCCTTGCGGCATTTAGAATTTTAAGTGCGGGTTTGCCGCCAGTAGGGCTTTGAAGGCCTCCGCTATGGCGGCCACCTCCTTCGGCTTTCTTCCACCATCATGTCGGGAAAAACTGTTTCTATATTATTTTCTTCCAATATTTCTTTAAATCTGGTTTTGTCAGTCCAACAGCCTACACTTGCTTGCTTTGCCAGCAGTCAGGACTTGTGATTGTCATAGAGATCCTCCATTGGTCACGTGACACTCACGCCGCCTTCCTCGGCCAAAAACCAATCCCACTTTAATTTTCGCTATTTCGTTGGAAATTCATTTAAAGAGCGTTGTTTGATGTTCAAAATTCCTTAAGAGGAATTCTACGAACAGTGGTAGAAGAGTTGTCGTCGGATTTAAAACATAGAGGCGATACCGGGCCATCCTCACTTTCCTCACTGAGTGGCAGGGAGCGCGCGAGTTTGAATCTGGAGTCGGCGCCGGGGCCGGTGTTTGACAATGTCTTAAGAAATGGACGCATAAATCGCAGACTTTGGTTACAGAAAATATATTTTGAGTCGTGATAATGAGTCTTGAAACTCAGTCAGCCACCTACGTGTTCGCATACCCGAATAAATCCTGACCCACCGCCGTCTTCGCATTCGAATTCTCGCGCGGTTTTGCCACTCAGTGAGCTTCGTGACGTCAGCATTGGAGGACCTCTATTGGTCCTTGCATTCCTGGAGGGGGGAATGAACAGCCAATGGCAGCCAATGGACAGAGACGTGATTCATTTCGATCCTTCCCTTTACCCTATTTGAAAAAGGTAATTTTGGCAAATGGTTGAATTTGTACATCAATTCCTAGAGTAATTTATAAATCAAATTTTACTGTCGTAAAGAGGTCCAGGGAAAAGCTTTCAAGGATTAATAAGTCACAAAAAAAAAACAGACACTAACTTGATTTAGATTGGCGTGCGATAAACATTCACATTCACATCGAAATACCCTGGCCAACATGCTGTTGAGGCGAAGGCCACCATACCATACCCTAGATTTCCCCCCCCCCCCCATTCACATCGACATTGATGTATATAAGAAGCCGTGAAGCCGAAGCCGAGAACGCGCGCTGCGTGGTGGTGAGTTTCTTGAGGAAGTTTTATCCGCTTTCCTCATCTTCGAGTAAGGTGAATGTATCTGAATAGGTCCTTGTCCACTCGCCGGTTGAGGATAACAGAATTATAATAGGAGCCCTGGTACACCTTACCTACTGAGCTATTACGTGCGCGGTGTCCCACTTCCGTTACTAACCGTTCGTCAGGGTCACTTGTGTTTATTTTCCTTCAATTTTGGACGACTGAAAGCCATTCTAATATCATTTCGTCTTTGCCGTGGTATATCATATTTCGAGTGTCCTATCTTCGTATGTTAGGAATCGAGATTCATGTTTGGTTATGTTTACATGGCGACCTCAGTCTTTGTTGGACTTAAAATAAAATAAACATTTTATTATTTGTCAAAGTTGTATTTTTCTTCTCTACTTTTGTGTGAATTGTTCATTTCTTTTTCGTGTTTGAGTGCTTTAACCATCTAACTCCATTGTTTTCTTTTCTTGCAGCTTTGTTGAAATGTCCAACATGCGAAGAGGAGGGCGGCATAACATGCCTCAAAGACCGTCTCCGTGGGATGTATCACCTGGCAACACCAGCGGCAACATAGGCATGAACATGAGCAGCAACATGAACATGGGCAACAACATGAACATGGGCATGGGCAACAACATGAACAACATGGGCATGGGCAACAACATGAACAACATGGGCATGGGCAACAACATGAACAACATGGGCATGGGCAACAACATGAACAACATGGGCATGGGCAACAACATGAACAACATGGGCATGGGCAACAACATGAACAACATTGGCATGGGCAACAACATGGGTATGGGCAACATCATGGGCATGGGTAACAACATGAATAACATGGGCAACAACATGAATGACATGGGCAACAACATGAATAATATGGGCAACAGCAGGAACAGCATGGGCATGGGTAACAACATGAACATGGGCAGTAACATTGGCAACAACAACTCGAATAATCTAGGCTCCTATCGTCCCTCAGGAGGCCTTTTGCCTACACCCAACCTCCCTGCCATGACGGGTCTTCTGCAGACCCCCCCATCTACGCCAAATATTCCACTCGCTGCTGGCAACAATGCTCTGAATAATAGGCATAATCAACAGACAAACCAAGTAATGCAGATGCTTTCTACAGTGTGTGTGTGTCAATTCCTGTTGTGGTATGTGTTTCAAATCAAAATCTTCTTCGTTACAGTTGCCATCTTTACTTGGTGCAAGTCCAAATTGCAATGGACTCCTGCCTCTTACTCCACCAGTCATGAATCCGTTTAACCAGAGCTACCGAGGTTACAGATCGCAGGGTTCTAGTCCTGACAATAATGCTTCTAATCGAGGCACTCGTTCCAGTGTTCCCTCTAGAAGATCAGAACCATATAACAAGGTTGGTGGCAATTGTACAGAGACACTGATCTTGCATCTGACTTATCAGTGATTATTTCTCATTTACACCCATTTTTGACTAAATTATTGAAAGACAAAAAATGCCCCCGAGTCTTGCCTGTCTTCGTGCATGCACTCGCCACTCAGTTGCAATTCACACTTGCACACGGGTATACTTGACGCTCCAGACATGTTAGTCACGTATATTGCTGTCTTGTGCTTTTGGAAGCCTCATTTCGTCCTCAACACTTCAAATTTTCTTTACCTGCTGCATCTTCATATCTGTGGCAGAACTTGTCAAAATATTCTTGACATTGACCTTTCTTCAGTCAACCATATTTTTCAATTGCCTAACACTAACAGACACTCCAATGTCTTCGAGGTTCTTCTTAAGAAAACATGTTTCCACTGTCCCGGTAATGCTGTTGGTTCTAATCAATTCCTTATTTTGCCTATTGTGGCATTGTAGATGGGAGGTCGAATTCAGAGACCGGGACAAAACAGTGATGATCGCAAAACTTCCAATGTTTCACCACGTAGAGCTGTCCGAGGCCCAGGGTTTAGTCCCAAGAGTGTTGTGCCACATGCTAGGAACACCAAGGAGGAGAAAGGAGACAGCAGCAGGTGAGTTTGTTTGCTAAACAGTTTTCTCTTGCAGTGGTTTTTCTCAGTGTCTTCATACTCCCTGTCGCACATACAACACCAAGACACATTGCCTTGCCAAAGTTTGGATTAGGTATTTGTTTCAGTTTTGTCTCTTTCGGTTGTCATTTCACTGAAAGTTTGTGTCAGTCAGAATACAGGACTTCTATAATATCATGAACTAACAGTAGTATAATAGAAACATGGCACCATTCCATTGCTTTAACTTGCATTTTCTCCTCATTCCCCTACCCAGGAAGACTGTCCATTCTAGTAAGGAAGTAATTGATGATAAAAACAAAAAATCAAGTAACAAACAGGAAAGTGAAAAGATGAAAGCAGAGTTTGCAGATATTCCAAGTGACCTACTCACATGTCATGTTTGTTTAAAGGATTTAAAAGATTCTGTTGTAAGTACTTCATTTATGAATGCATACGTATTTATTTTTTCTTTACTTTCATGGGGCCATTTGTTGGAGTTAACCCAATTTTTTTTTCTTTTTTTGATGCAGTCTTTTGTAAACCACATCAAAAGCACAGACCACCTGTCCATGATGGACCATCAGGAGGAGCAGTACAAGGCACATGCTGAAAAGTTGCGTCAACAAATGAAGGTAAGTTGTTGCACTGTTGTTCAAAACCTACAAAACTGTCCCATGGTAACTTATAGATACTTTTCCTGTGTGTTTACAGATTGAGGAACAACAGCGCCAAATTTCATTGAGGCAAAATAGAAGTCTGGGCAAATTTTCTCAAACTAATAATGAATACTGTGCAATGTGCAATCTGCACTTCAGCGGTAACATTGCTCAACACCGCAAGGGTCCAAAGCATGTGGTAAGCTCATACTGGAAATGAGTGTTATACCTAAGCCTTGTGACTGCTCTTATTCTTTGTTCTTTTTGTGCTTCAGGAATTAAAACTATTTTTACATCCAAGATGCAAAATTTGTGATAAGGAATTTCCCACACGACTGGATTATGATAACCATATGCTGACTCCAGGTCACTTGAAGGTACTTAAAATTACTTTAGTGATCGTGTGAAATGTTTATTGTTGTAGTCTGTCTAGTAACAAATATTTAACATTTTCCAGAACAAATGTGGAGACGTGTGTACTAACAGTAAGACAATTGCGAGGCCCGAAGCGGAAATGAAGAAGGCTCCTAGTAATATTGAGACATTCCCTCCTCTGAAAGGTATTTTAAAGAAAGAAAAGAGAAGTTCTGCTCCAGTGTCGCCTAAACCAATTGAACCGGAAGAAGAAAAATTACCAGATTATGACAGTCAAAAAGAAATAGGTGAGATTTCTTCATTTCTTCTGTCAATCTGTCATATTGTGAACATGCACTGACACTCAGAAAAAACTTCTATTTTATCTAGGAATGGAGATGTTGATGGAAAAAACCGGCTTTTTATGCAAATGCTGCAATAGATTTTTAAGCAGCAGCTGCGATGCTAAAACGCACTGCAGATCTCAATTCCATTATGACAAATATATAAATCATATCAAATCTCAGGTATGAAAATTTGGGTGAATTATGCTGCGAGTTTATTCTTTGGTAAATATCAATTCATTGTACTCAAGTTCTTCTTCTTTTTGTTCAGCCTATTTTTGTAGTTGAGTCTCCAAAGCCATCATCACCATCCACCAAAACCAAGGTACTAATCACATAAATAAAGTTGCTTCTTGAGCTGTAGCAAGGTCTCTTTTCCCTGATGCCAATTGGGTTTACTCTCTGTTTTCTGAAGGTGAAGGAAGATGATGATAAATTGAAGGCAAAACCAGACTTGGTGAAGGCAGAAGAAGATGACAAATCCGATGTGACAAGTCAAAAAGAGGATGATAAACAAGATGTGCCTGAACCAGAAGAGGAAGAGGAAGAGGAGGAAGAAGATGAGGGGAACTGGAAGCGCAGAAAAGTTGCAACAGATGATGATTCATCAATGGTGTGTTAATTTTTTTTTCTTGCGGCTTGTATTTGATTAGATTTAAATAAGTCAAGGTTAGAAGTGGGAGGTAGGTTCCACCTTGTTGTACCTGGGTAGAACTAGGTGCAACCTGATGCACCAGGTTGAAAGTCATTTGAATGGAAGTAGGTGAAATGTCCCAAGGTGTAGATACTTCCTAGTTATCTGGTTTTTTAGGTTTATTTTTTTTTCTTGGCGACTGGCTGGCTTTTGTGGTACAGAAAGTCGACGGCCGCCAGCACCTGCTATACCTCAGCGTTGAATTTTTCTCTGTCTTGAAGTTTGTCCGCCATTTAATTTTATAAAATTTAGTCAGAAAATTTATATGGCCTTTGCCAAAAAAATGTGTGCGCTGCCCCTGTGCCCGATTTTCCCGCGTTGCCCCACCACCTCTCAACAATAGCGGCCCTGGCACTCCTTTGAAACACTTGCTGTCACTTGCACCCACACCTGAGTGTGAGTGCAGGAAAATGCATGGGCTCCACTACTTCTACCCTAATGCAAGTCGTTTAAAACTGGTAGGGATCGGTGTGTCAGGTTGCACCTAGTTCTAGCCGGGTACAACTAGGTGGAACCTACCTCCAACTTCAAACCTTAACAAAGACAATATTGACTTCTTAAATTTGTTTCTCTACAGGATGTCACTGAACCGCCAAAAGAGTCCACCAGAGAAGATAGAAGTGAAGATCAAGGTACAGATTCAAAGGATGATAAGCAATCAAATGATGCTAATGAAGAAAATGCTCACGTTTCATCAGGAAACACTGTTGCAATTTAAAATTTATTTCATTGTCTTGAACTGCACATAGAAAGTTTTTTTTTTCCTGTAAATCATGATTATTGACTCATTGTGTTTAGGTGTTTTGTGGCCCATCATTTAAATCAAGTCTTTTTTAAAACTGTTCATGTAGAGTCCAGAGAATGTTTTAAAGCTTCAAATTATTGGACTATGTATGAATTAACTAGATACTCAATTTGAGACGCAAATCTCTGTGATCATGAGTTTAAGAAAGATACAGTAATTTTTGGGTGGCACCCCATCTGGAAAAACGATGAATGAGCCAACTCTGTGGGTCCAAAAACATTTTCTTGCCTGGTTTAATTTGATGTGCCCGTAGTGGCTTGATCAGCTTGAAAAGAAGCTATGTGAATACTATCAGTTATTATACTTTCACAATTTTGTATGTTTTTTTTTTTTAAATATTTTCTTGAATATAAGGATGGTTTGAGTTGCAGAGTGTAATTCATATATTCTTTAAATAAAGCTTAATTAAGCTTACCCTGTTTGTTCCAATTTTATCAATGATTGTAGAATGAACACATTTTACCCTAATTCTTTCATGCTTTCACTGATTGGAGAATTAATGAAGACACAAATGATGTTACCATATTTTTATTTGGTAAGCACCTGAGGAAATTTACTTAATTCACTAATACCATGTAAAACTAGTTTTATGTGACCCTTGGTTTTAGCACATTCAGATTGAATAAGTTTGCCCTTTTTTGACAGTAATTCTATCCTCATTTCACAAAATTTAAGAGCTTCGCCTGACTGAAGTTCGACATAGTTACCTAAACCTATGTCTACAAACAATTTGGAAGGATCTGGAACGTTGGCTTGCATATAAAAATTGCAACCTATATCAACTTTTGTTTTAAACCCATCTGGTCCAACATCTGCCTCTTCAATGGTGTGTATCATATTCTTCAACTCAACGTATTCAGCTATTTCACTGTTGACTTCAGTAAGGCGATTTTCAAGTCTTTTTAAGTCTTCTTTCAAAACATCGTTGACGAAAGATTCAAATTTAAAAATTTTATCGGGGATGGAGGTTGCTTCCATTGTGAAGTGCAGAGAGATCCTGAAACAAGTTAACCCCTAAATGTGAAACGCTATGACAGCACAAGGTTGACATGCACTTAAACGAACCATTAAGATTAGGCAACAGGTCGAAGAAGGCAATGAGCAAATTCTATGTTCCCAAAATAAGACAAATAAGCATAAAAAAAATAAAAACAATCACACCACAAATCTTCATTTAAAAAAAAAAGTTGTGTGAGATTTAAATGAAACAAAATTACTGTCAGCCGAGAGTGGAAAAATTTTGGACAGGACAAACATTAAAGCATTTCGACAAGTTTAATATTTACCTCCCAATGCTGAAGTTTTTCTTTAAGTTGATAAATGTGTGTGCACAACAATCAACACAAAAACCACAAGCTGGAGCACTGTCTCTATTCACATTCGCATTCGTTTTATCTCGGACGAATTTCTCATCATCTAAACTGGTTGCAGCCATTTCCGTCGTCTGCTTGCGAGAAATAAACACATCACTTCTGCAGTTGTAACCTGTCAGCGGCCACTTCTGCTCCGGCCACTACGACCACTGCAACAGTGGCGGAGCGCGGCTGGCATATTGGTATTGCAGTTCGGATGGTGTGCCACGTAGAAGGCTAGCTTTGGTTTGAGATTACCGAGTATGGAAAACACTAAGACAAAAACACCGACCAGTTCAGCGGCCAAAGCAGAAGCAGAGCAGAATTCGTAAGTCAAGAGTCGAAAGAAAGATCTTTTTGTCTGTCACTAGTGATATTTCGAAAACCTACCGGTGGCGACTTGCGTCGTTTTGAAAGCAAGGTAATGAAAAATGATTCTTTCAACCAATATTTATAGTAGCACCTTTAATATCGTAATCTAGGCCACTTTATGTAAGTTATGTTTATTGTACAGGCAAAGTAGGTTATGTCCAATGTGAACTAGTAACATAAGAAAATGATCAAATCTGTTTTCCATTTCATGTTCACCATTGCGTTTCATAATTGCATTTTGCTCCTTTGTTGCAGTCTTTGGTTTCATTTGGCCATGCATCTAAAATAAATTGGTATGGAGGGAGTTGCATTTTTCACCCAAGGTGGAGCATTTACCCGACTTTGACAATTATCACTTCATGCATCTAATGTCAATGCAAACCAATGAAGCAAGGAAATGGTTATTCTCTCTTACGTTACTCATGAGCTTCATAACTTTCTTGGTAAGTTCAAAATGTATTTGATATGTGAAAGGAAGTTAGATCTTATTTGGTCCACAGTTTTTGTTTTCCCAGCGAAGGAAATCAATCCGATCTTTGAACAATGTACTTAAATTCATTGGACATCAGTTTTGAAGGGCTTGTGAATAAGAAAATAAAAGTGTATCACAGTTAAAACTTTATTTTGATATAATATGTACTGCTGCAAGATCAAGTTATCATTAGTATCACAGACAAAACTGTAATTAATATACATGTCCTTTGGGTTATTATTCCTAATAATACATAAAATACTCTGATATTAAACAAGAGTTTTGAAAAGAAACCTAAGATACATATTCAATGTGTTTCACTACTTTTGGTCTAAGATATAAAATATAAGGTAAGGTGAAGGGACTGTAGAAGCACTTTTCCATGTTACTCTTTCAACCTAAGAAATCAGAAATAAATGAATAGAAGATGTTAATCTACTGTCCTTTTCCTTTCAGAAGCAGTCACAAGTCAAGCAGGAAATGTACTCACATTTTGATCATCGAAACTGAAGAAACCAAGAGTTGAACACTTCACGACTGCTTTGTAGTGCCCTGTGTTAATATTTTCCCCGAGGTGATGGACTATGCCTGATAGCCTGTACGGAAATTTGGAATGTAACTCAAGCTGCTTAGGTATGGAAACTTCAGTAAGAACTTTATTTCCTTCATTATCAAATCTGAAACAAAATAAAGGCAGTAGTTAGCTTGTCATTATATATGTGTACAAGTGAATATTTAAGATGCATGAACATAAAACATACCTTTTTAGTTGTATGGTCAAAACTATTGGTGCTTTTTCTATTGATATAGTCTGTTTACACGTTCTTTTCTTTTTATTATTACAGGAACACATGTAATCCTCTAAAATTTCTGCTTTGAAGAGGCTGTTCACAGCGGCTGCCTGTCCTGTAACACAAAACACACAAGGCTAAGTCTAGTTCTGCGTGCGAGACGGCGGCGTGGCAGCTAGGTCAATGCTAAGGAGCGATGAGCCAGACGACGTCCACCGCGCGCACTGCCGCGGCCAGCAACGCGAGGCGAGGCGCTCTTGCTGTCTCTCCTGTGGACATCTGAGACCTGAACGTTTCACTTGTTGCTTCCCACCTCTCTCTTTCACTGACAAGGGATTCCAGGAGGGCAATGGAGCGGTCCACCTTGGCCTGCACATTCTTCAAGTCTGTCTGTAGGGCCTTCGCTTGTGAGGTGAGCTGTTTGTGTTCTTTGAAGGATGATTCTACGCTCTGCTCCAGCTGAGCAATACGTTTTTTTAAATCCTCAGCCTCATTTTCGTTTTTAGATGCTTGTTGTTCCAGAGAACCCAATTCGTCTTGCAGTGGCTTGAGTTTCTGAAGCATGTCTGCATACTGAACCTGTAACATTGAAAAGTCTTAGTACTATTACCCTTCAGAAGTAGACAAAAGAGTTCAGAGGACAAATGTAGTGTTATTTGGAGCATACCTGAGCAATGGCCCACTTCACCAGACGTCCACAAGCCCGACTGGCATTACTTATTTTCTCAAAATTATAATCTGGCCTATTGAGATACTTGTCACGCATCTTCTGTCTAACAGCATCACTGTAAGATTTCAGAAGAAAGCATTAACGTTAAAGCTCAGTAGAAAAACTTTGTAAACCAGGTAGAAGTTTTAGATATCTTATAATACAAAGCAATGTTTGGAATAAAGAACTAGAAGCAAGAAAAGGAATAGAGGAAGCACATGCTAAAAACGTTGCAAAAAGCCAAAATCGCTTACGCAATATCCTCAGTCTTTAAGTTGGAGACGATGGACTTAAAATCCCTTCTCCTGACAAAAGTCCTGACTGCATTCCAGTTAGTTGCATTTTCTCCCAACAAAACACAGATAGACTCTAAGACCATTGCAACTAGGGCAGATGGATTGACAAAAGATCTGACTTCGTTCAACTCCTCATTATTCATATTCTTCACAGCTATAAAGCAAAACAAAAATAAGCATAAAAAAAATGCAGACATCAAAAGATGGATCGGACAACAAACAGATCAGACATGACAACTGAGTGGAGACTTGCAATAAAGAGATCTCAATTGATAGGTTCAATAATACTTTGTACTGTAGTTTAAAAAAAAGTTGCTTGCAAATTTGAAAGTCAAGAATTTTAAGAACATCTAAATCTATTTATGAAAGGTATGAAAATCAAACAAAAAGTTAAGCTCATGCAAGCAGACAAACCAAACTTATTCATAATCTTTCTTATGTGAGATCATCCGAATTAAAGCTAACTATTGTGTTAATAAAGTTCTCTCTCATTACAACTGAGCGAATGGCACGCCAGTCATTTGTGTTTTCACAAAGCAGGAGGCAAACAGATTCCAACGCCAGCTTTAGGATTTGGAAATTAACACCAGGTGCTGTTTCTTTATGGATTTAACAGCTGGACAGTTGTACCACATAAGTAGAAACAAAAGAAGTTATCCCTTCTAGCAGTTAATTCTTCTTACAATGGCTGGCACTAACCTTGCTTGGCATCGATGACTGCAGGTTCAACCTGTGCCAATTCCATCTTCACAGCATCTCGTTTTTCTGAAATGCCCACAGTATGCCTCTCAATATCAGCCTGGATGTCTTGACTCTCAACCTTTTTCTTTTCAGCCTCCTGCCGATCTTTCTCCATCTGCTCGAGCTTCGCATTGGCCGCTTCATTCTTGGCTGCTAGCTCCTACAAGACAAATTGATAGGCATTAAAAGCTAACTTCTACAGTGAGAAAAAGCGCTCATGAGGATAGGAGCAAGTACCTGAGATATAACTTTTGAAGACTTTTGCAATTCTTCAACATGTAAGACAGTCTCTGCAATTTTGTTAAGACAAACATTCAAACGAAGTTGCTGTTCTTCAAAATATGAGCGCTTTTCAGCGTACAGCTTGACAAAATTATGCAAGAAGTCCATGAAATGCCTATCAAAGGAAAGACAATTTATTACACATCCTTTTGACACACCAAACAGACAAAACGGCAGCACGCGTGCACACCCCGACTCGCCCGCCCGAGGGCACTGTGTATCGAACCTGAACCACCGACGAGAACTGTGAATTATAGTGACAAGTAACTTTACTCCGTGTTACGTCGTTCCTTGCGTCAATTGCCTTTCCCAAACCTAACATCCACTGCGATACCTTTCTAGCGCCAAGAGAACCCTGGGCAGGATAGGTCTGAGACACCGTCCACAACAGTACACTAGTACACTAGTAACTCACCCCTTCCTGCCGCGCCTTCAGCTCCTCCACCTCGGCCTGGAGTGTGGCTACCCAGCCCCGCAGCTGCGCCACCTCCTGCTGCAGCGGCGGCGGCGGGGGCTGGTGGGGCTGGTGGGGCTGGTGGGGCGGCGGCGGCGGCGGGGGCTGGTGGGGCTGGTGGGGCTGGTGGGGCGGCGGCGGCGGCGGGGGCTGGTGGGGCTGGTGGGGCGGCGGCGGCGGCGGGGGCTGCTGGGGCCGCTGGGGCTGCTGGGGCAGCACAGCCAGCGGCTGCCTGTCCTGTAACACAAAACACACAAGGCTAAGTCTAGTTCTGCGTGCGAGACGGCGGCGTGGCAGCTAGGTCAATGCTAAGGAGCGATGAGCCAGACGACGTCCACCGCGCGCACTGCCGCGGCCAGCAACGCGAGGCGAGGCGCTCTTGCTGTCTCTCCTGTGGACATCTGAGACCTGAACGTTTCACTTGTTGCTTCCCACCTCTCTCTTTCACTGACAAGGGATTCCAGGAGGGCAATGGAGCGGTCCACCTTGGCCTGCACATTCTTCAAGTCTGTCTGTAGGGCCTTCGCTTGTGAGGTGAGCTGTTTGTGTTCTTTGAAGGATGATTCTACGCTCTGCTCCAGCTGAGCAATACGTTTTTTTAAATCCTCAGCCTCATTTTCGTTTTTAGATGCTTGTTGTTCCAGAGAACCCAATTCGTCTTGCAGTGGCTTGAGTTTCTGAAGCATGTCTGCATACTGAACCTGTAACATTGAAAAGTCTTAGTACTATTACCCTTCAGAAGTAGACAAAAGAGTTCAGAGGACAAATGTAGTGTTATTTGGAGCATACCTGAGCAATGGCCCACTTCACCAGACGTCCACAAGCCCGACTGGCATTACTTATTTTCTCAAAATTATAATCTGGCCTATTGAGATACTTGTCACGCATCTTCTGTCTAACAGCATCACTGTAAGATTTCAGAAGAAAGCATTAACGTTAAAGCTCAGTAGAAAAACTTTGTAAACCAGGTAGAAGTTTTAGATATCTTATAATACAAAGCAATGTTTGGAATAAAGAACTAGAAGCAAGAAAAGGAATAGAGGAAGCACATGCTAAAAACGTTGCAAAAAGCCAAAATCGCTTACGCAATATCCTCAGTCTTTAAGTTGGAGACGATGGACTTAAAATCCCTTCTCCTGACAAAAGTCCTGACTGCATTCCAGTTAGTTGCATTTTCTCCCAACAAAACACAGATAGACTCTAAGACCATTGCAACTAGGGCAGATGGATTGACAAAAGATCTGACTTCGTTCAACTCCTCATTATTCATATTCTTCACAGCTATAAAGCAAAACAAAAATAAGCATAAAAAAAATGCAGAGATCAAAAGATGGATCGGACAACAAACAGATCAGACATGACAACTGAGTGGAGACTTGCAATAAAGAGATCTGGGTACGGGACAACCCCAGTCGCCCCTCAAGGTACCTGAAGGGGTCTGCTCAGAGCTCTGAGCGGGCCGTCATGCATATGGACTTCCCCGACAGGCCTCAACGAAATTATAGGAAGAGGGCGCACCCTGATGATGTTGAGGCTGAGAATGTCCCTCCTTCACCAAAGCGGATTGCTCCCTGCCCCAACGTCCCATTCGAAGTGTGGCAGAGGAGGAGCCTCAATGCCAGACCACCAGGGGGGCACTATTCGAAAGCCCAAGGCAGCAAGTACGGCATGAAGCTGATTGAAAAATCAGGATTAGGTAAGGAATTTCACACAACTGGTCAGGTAAAAAAGAAAAATTCCCCTTACCAAAAGTAAAATTGTTTTGAATTTTTACTACAGTCCTACAACAGTCACTAGTTCCAAACCACGTTCGGGCTGACCTCCCACATCCCCAGACAGTGTTGTATTCCCCTGATAAAATTTCAATGATATGGGGAACGGGAGGCACAGGTGTTGGCCTGAAGAACGGTGGCAACACATGCTACCTGAATTCAGTTCTGCAGGTACAGTATTCAAAGAGATTTAAATGAAAAGTGAAGTGGTTATTCTATGTTTGTCAGTCTTTAAAAAAAATTTCTTTCTACATTACAGGTTCTATTTCATATACCAGCTGTAGTGCAGATGCTTGAAGAGGAACTTCAACCCCATTGCCTATGCACATTATGCCTGTTATGTGTCATAAGAAGCCAACTACAAAACAGTGGTAGCACAGTCGAGCCACATGGGCTCATTGACCAAATTGACAGTAAGTATATGTACAACTGCTAAACAGTCACCCTTTTACTATTCATAATTGGCTTCCAAAACTCAAAATGAAACCGTTCCTGTTTTTTTTAAAGATATATTTGGGCGTGCAGTGAAAGGAAAACAAGAGGACCCTCACGAATTCCTCAGGCGGCTGGGCGAGAAAATTGAAATAGACTTCCTGCAACATCGTGGCCTCAGATCCTCTGAGTAATTAATTTAACATATTTATGTTGAACTTAAGATATATGTCTGTACATGCAGAACTAATTTCTCTTCTTCCCTCTATGATAAACAGTTTGGATCAGGCCTCTGCTGAGACCACCGCATGGCATCAGATATTTGGTGGCTATATGAAATATACTGGTAGAGTCGATTTTGGAACTTAAAAGCTTTAATTTAAAGGGGTATTCTCGCTGTTACAAGTTTCATGTTTTCTTCTTTTCAGTGACGTGTAGTAAATGTAAATCTGATTCCGAAACGGTGCAGCATTTCCAAGACTTGAGAGTTCCGGTAGTACAGTTTAAAACACTCCAAGGAGCAGTGAACAGCCTCTTCAAAGCAGAAATTTTAGAGGATTACATGTGTTCCTGTAATAATAAAAAGAAAAGAACGTGTAAACAGACTATATCAATAGAAAAAGCACCAATAGTTTTGACCATACAACTAAAAAGGTATGTTTTATGTTCATGCATCTTAAATATTCACTTGTACACATATATAATGACAAGCTAACTACTGCCTTTATTTTGTTTCAGATTTGATAATGAAGGAAATAAAGTTCTTACTGAAGTTTCCATACCTAAGCAGCTTGAGTTACATTCCAAATTTCCGTACAGGCTATCAGGCATAGTCCATCACCTCGGGGAAAATATTAACACAGGGCACTACAAAGCAGTCGTGAAGTGTTCAACTCTTGGTTTCTTCAGTTTCGATGATCAAAATGTGAGTACATTTCCTGCTTGACTTGTGACTGCTTCTGAAAGGAAAAGGACAGTAGATTAACATCTTCTATTCATTTATTTCTGATTTCTTAGGTTGAAAGAGTAACATGGAAAAGTGCTTCTACAGTCCCTTCACCTTACCTTATATTTTATATCTTAGACCAAAAGTAGTGAAACACATTGAATATGTATCTTAGGTTTCTTTTCAAAACTCTTGTTTAATATCAGAGTATTTTATGTATTATTAGGAATAATAACCCAAAGGACATGTATATTAATTACAGTTTTGTCTGTGATACTAATGATAACTTGATCTTGCAGCAGTACATATTATATCAAAATAAAGTTTTAACTGTGATACACTTTTATTTTCTTATTCACAAGCCCTTCAAAACTGATGTCCAATGAATTTAAGTACATTGTTCAAAGATCGGATTGATTTCCTTCGCTGGGAAAACAAAAACTGTGGACCAAATAAGATCTAACTTCCTTTCACATATCAAATACATTTTGAACTTACCAAGAAAGTTATGAAGCTCATGAGTAACGTAAGAGAGAATAACCATTTCCTTGCTTCATTGGTTTGCATTGACATTAGATGCATGAAGTGATAATTGTCAAAGTCGGGTAAATGCTCCACCTTGGGTGAAAAATGCAACTCCCTCCATACCAATTTATTTTAGATGCATGGCCAAATGAAACCAAAGACTGCAACAAAGGAGCAAAATGCAATTATGAAACGCAATGGTGAACATGAAATGGAAAACAGATTTGATCATTTTCTTATGTTACTAGTTCACATTGGACATAACCTACTTTGCCTGTACAATAAACATAACTTACATAAAGTGGCCTAGATTACGATATTAAAGGTGCTACTATAAATATTGGTTGAAAGAATCATTTTTCATTACCTTGCTTTCAAAACGACGCAAGTCGCCACCGGTAGGTTTTCGAAATATCACTAGTGACAGACAAAAAGATCTTTCTTTCGACTCTTGACTTACGAATTCTGCTCTGCTTCTGCTTTGGCCGCTGAACTGGTCGGTGTTTTTGTCTTAGTGTTTTCCATACTCGGTAATCTCAAACCAAAGCTAGCCTTCTACGTGGCACACCATCCGAACTGCAATACCAATATGCCAGCCGCGCTCCGCCACTGTTGCAGTGGTCGTAGTGGCCGGAGCAGAAGTGGCCGCTGACAGGTTACAACCCACTTCTGCAGTGACACAACCAGAAACCAGTACCGACTAACTGAAGAGCCCGCAGGCAGGGGCCACGGCTCTCTAGGTAATATATGCGCGATTATAACGATCTTATTTGAGGATGTTGGAAGTTTGGTTGCATGTGTGACACAACTTAGCGGCGGTGGGCAGCAGAACACATGAGCGTATGACGGGGGTGGTTGTGCAGCAGTGGGTGGTGTTGAAGTGGTGAGGAGGGCGGGGCGCGGGGTGAGGGGGTGTGAGTGGTTGGTCGTAGCAAGCAATGGCGGCTTTGTAGATTGCAAAGGCCTAAACGCTCGAAAAAAAAATGTGCTTTTTGTCTTTTTGGTGAAAGAGTCTGTCTCGGAAATGCGTGCAGGCCTCTAGTTTTTATCAGCTGGGTTGAGGGGTTAGAGTCCAGATGGTGTGTGCCGCCTCCTCTTTGACAGAACGTGCATCTACGACGTGTTTGGCAAACCCGTCTGCTGTCATTTGACATGACACTAGAAGACCCTTTCTTCGTAGTTAAAGAGTGAGTTAGGGAGTTCTCGGTTTCCCGGCGTGTCCAGTTTGTCAAATTTTCACCCCTTTTCTTTCAAAAATAATTCCTTGTTTATAAACTGGTTTTGTCTTCCATGATCAGTTGCCTTTGTTCTTCTTAAAAGCTATTTATCTATTTTTGTTTGTTTTTGTGACACTAATTTGTTTTGGTTTTCAGTGAAGTGTCCAAAGCTCTAAACAAAACCAAGGGCTTGTACCAGCGTTGGCTTGAGCTGCAGAAAGACACAGGACTTAATGTCACAAAAGATGACTTGGAGTGGACCACCACTGAGTTACGAAATTCCCTGAGAAGTATAGAGTGGGATATTGATGATCTCGAAGACACCAAAAATATCCTTCCTATGCACTGCTGTATATAAATATTACCTTTGTTTGAATTGAGATTTGGGACTTAGTTAATCTTTCATTTTCTAATATACTTGTTAAAAATTGACTCAAATTATCTTTGTTAAATCAATTTTATTGGCCTCTTAAGAAACTGAGAAACTCTTCAGAAACTTCTGGCCTGAGAAAGAAGCTTGTGCTGTGGGAGAAGACATGATGTGGTCTTCAATTAGCATGTGGTGTCTAAACTAGTGACACACGCCCAGTGTTCTCATTAGAGGTCTTTCGTGAAATGCAGAAGAAACCAATCGATTTCATTTTGAATGGTCTGCTCCCTATGAGGGACTAGACCAGTTCCAACTCTTCAGGCTGCCTGTTTCTTCCATATAAATCCCTGTCATTAGTTTTTTTCCCCCCCTGACTTTTGTCTCAATTTTGAGAGGGTATAGCCTCTTCTCTGGGTTTTATTTTCTTTGAGTTCCCAAATGTAAGGTGGGAGGCAGGGCATTGTTGGGATACATACAGTACCTTTTATAAAAAGAATTTGTTTGTGAAGTGTTAGCTAAAAATGTTTCAGTATTATCCTAGTATTTCCTTAATAATGCTTTACATATTGTTGAGAAGAATCCTTCAAAGTTTAAGATAGACAACAAAGAGCTCACCAATAGGAAATTATTTATTGAACAAGCAAGAGAGGAAGTCAAGGTTGGTGTCTAGTTCAATTTTAAAAATGATTTGCAATAAGTGCAGAAATCAAAGGTTTTTAATTTTTGCAGGTGATGAGAGACAAGATGAATCTGAACAAAAACAGAGACCGAGACCGGACTGCTCGTCAACCTCTTCTTGATACTCGAGACAGTAGTCCTGTTCGAGTTCCATCTAGTCATGGTTCTACCAAGTATTCCAAATTGGAAAATGATTTGGACAGTCCCAGTCGACAGTTTTTAGATGATACTCTTGCTCAGCAACGAAGTCTCATTCTTGGGCAAGATGACACACTTGATGCTATCAGCGACAGTGTTGGCACCCTTAAAACTGTGTCTCGGCAAATTGGATCTGAACTTGATGAGCATGCTGTGTACGTTAAACTGAAACACAATTAAAGATTTTACTGTGCTTAGATCTTTGTTCTTAATTGTTTTCTGTGTCTTCTAGAATGCTGGAGGACTTTGGTAATGAAATGGAGGGTACAGATGCAAAAATGGATGCGACCATGAAGAAGGTTGCAAAGATAATGCATATGACCAATGGTAATATATGGCACTGACACTTTCGCAAGGCACAGCCGTTATGTGGCAATAAACCTGGATGTTTTGTTTCTGTTACAGATAGGAGACAATGGATGGCTATTGGTGTACTGTCATGCATCCTAATTATTATCATCATTTTATTTAAGTTCTTATAAGGAACATTGAATAGGCAGCTGCTTTCTTTTGTACAATTAAGTTTGATTTTACACAAAAATTCATTGTGACTGTCCAAAGAAAAGACTATATCTCACAGTTCTTATATTTTGGGACAGGAACTGTAATTTCATGAATTATCCCAGAGTCTTCTGAAAAAATATGTCTAATCAGAATCAGGGTGAGTTTATCTCCTACAGATACTGAATGAAAAGTTGCCAACAGTTATAATTGAGTTACTGAAAAATTCTAAGACCTGTTGGAGTTAATTTTAATGTCTTCTGGAGAGTGATGAATTTTTGCATTCTTGTGTATCTATGTCATTTCTGTATTTACTGACAAAGATTAAAGTCGAAACCTATGTCTTTGCTGTTTCAATGGTTCCGAGTTTTCTCTGTCGCTTAAAGCAAACTTCTTATTTTTATAGACTGATTCATTTTAACAGTGATAATGTGCTGTTCTACTTACTCACAACTATGGCAATGAGTTCTGTAGAATAGCACTGAGGTGATATTTTTCTCCTATTTTATGTGAATTTTTAATTACATTTTTTAAGTGATGATGGAACAGTGTATAGCAAGCAATGAATCAGTTAAAATTACCAAAGTAAGATGGTTCTCTTTTTAACTGTATGATTCTTATTCTAGGCCAATTAAGTTACATTTTTTTCTATATATTGTTCCATCTCCACTAGAATTTAACTTAAATATGTTGTGTTATTATCCTCTAGGGGCTATGAACTTATATTTTGAACTTTATTTTGTCATAGAAACCCCTCTCTTTTTTAGAAGCTGGCTAGTAGATTACCTTTTTAATGCAAACCCTTGACAGAATATGCCTGGTTATTTTGTACTGTTGGCTGAATGAGTGGCAACTAAATGTTATCATAATATTCTTGTCGAAGTGGATGTACAATTGTTTTGTGTGATAAAAGAACCTAAAAAGTTGTGTTACTTACAATTGAGATTTGAAGGGTGGCTTTTATAGTTATATGTTATGAATTTAGTAACATTCTATAATTCTTTTTATTCCATCACAGATTGTGTCTCATTCTATTTATTTTCCACTCAAAGTTTGGATGTGTTTGTTAATTTTTTCAAGTCATCGATGTCATCCTGCTTTTTCAGTTGAGGCTAAAATGGATGAGCATTTTTTGTCTATTGTCACTTTTTAAGAGTTGTCTGTCATATTCCATTGGGCCTTGGTGCAGAGTTAGTGAGATACAAGTGTGTGGTTGTTTTTCAGAATAAACTATATTGACAACACACTGCATTTTGTTTTTCTTACTCTTGCCTGCTGCATAGGTGGAGATTACACACAGTTCAAAAGAAACAGTATGCGCCCACAGGAGATTATCACATCAACTTCCTAAAATATTGGCTAAATCAAGTGAAGAATCATTACACTTTACAGATGCGGGCAGGGGTGAGGTGGGGACTGTGGCAATCGAACTGTGAAGGACTCCACATCTCACCTTTGGTCCAATCTGTGAATTGTTCAGGTTGTTCAGATTCAAAGTGTTCAGATTCTTAACTTGATGTAGCCGTTATATTCACCTCATTTTCTCTTCTCGACACAAGTGACGATAAACCTCAAATGTACCAACTTGATTTAAGAATGATATTTGAGTATACAAGGCAATCAGCGTAAAATAGTCGGCATTTTTATTTACATGTATACGATAACTATAACTCATGCCACACTTGAAATTGAAGTAGGACAGTTTTAAAATAAGATATAACTCTAATTTCACAGCTCAAAACCTTTTCATGCTTACCACAGATGAGGATACCTATAGTGTGAGCATTACAGAAGTATATGGAGTAGCATTGAATTGTAGAAAAGGAGTAAGGGTTGCCACATAAAAAAAAAAAGTTTAAAAAAGATCAAATTTTTTAAAAAGGAAAATAATGAGTGCTTCAACTTGTGACAATCAAAGAAAACAGATTTAGGAGGTGACCTCAAAACAAGTTATGCCTACAGCACATGAAATTTTTGTGGAAACAGATACCCACACACAATAAAGAATAAAGCTGAAGCTCAAAAATTTCAGAGGCAAGAGTCGCAGTTCCATCATTAGTCAAAAGAATTTCTATCAGCAATTGCACTTCCAATAACTACAGAGAGCAATCACATATGTGTGTCCAGGAACCAGTCGGAGGCCTGAGAAAGATGGGTACCAATCAATTAAAGAGATCGGTTTCTTTCAGAACAGGCATTACACTGATTCATGCTCTCTGCAGGCTGTTTTTTTTATGATCACAAATCAATTTTGACGTCGGAGAAAGTTGTCAGTTTAAATAGTCATTTTAAAGGGTTTTTTTAAGGCATCGGAAAAGACAAAATTAATGTTGAAAATACTTTACACTGTTTACAAATAATATTACACAAATAATAACATTGAGTCAACCTAAAAGCAAGAAAGCCCAACAATGACTTAATCATTACAAGTAACAGTAAGAAAATAAAGACAGCTCATATACAAATTCAACAAATTTGATTGAGTCCATTCTCAAAATATAAAAGCTTCCTTCCTATTGATGGTCACAATGCTAATGGGACTAAAATTCATTTCCATTTGGTAAAATTCTGAATTTAACAAAACGACATTGATTAGGAGAGCACCGAAACACCAAATGCATTTTTTCCCACAGAGATGTATGCAGTCTCTGGCTATAATTACAATTTGTAGATATTTTGCTATCTGTAATGAGGATGTGAGAAAAGAAACAAAGATGGTAGTGGATCTTAGCATTCATCATGACACCAATCTTCTTCATGCTTTCAAAATTTTTAAAAATATCAACGTAAAAAAACAAACTTCTACAAAATCCTGTAAAGGGCAGCCAGGGCAAGGACATAAACTGCTAAAGTGCAGGGCAATAAATATCTATTAGTACAAGAACGGTTTAAGTAATACCACCTCTCAGTACACTGTTAGACATAAAAGAACCAACCCACAGGCTTTCATTCAGCACAGGATGCAAATAGTCTCATCCACCATTGATAGAAGAGAGGCAAGTGAAAGACTCATTCTGATAGAAGGTACTTGTCAGAATTGGATTTTGTATGAATCCAATGTGACGTGCTTTTTTACCAACAAAAGATAAGAAAAAGTACGGTTTATGCCAATTGTATGCAAGCGGTTTGCTCTCTCAAGGCTTGTCTTGGTACTAAGCCTACCCTTCTTGACCAAAGTCCTCCTTAAACTTATCAAGCTTTATAAGATCTTCATCATTAACTGTGGGCTTGGACGTCTGTAGTGATCGTTCCATATCGCTCTGGAGGTGAAAGAGAACAAAGAAATTGATGTTTCAACAATTTGACACCATAAATACTTCAAGAAGGTATCTTTGTAAACTTTACCATGGTAACTGGGGGTTCATACAGCTTATCACCATCAACCTCCATCCATGTCATCTCGATGGCTTCGGGATGTCCAGGTGAACAAGGTGTCAGTAAGTCATCTACAATGACACTTGGGTCTTTGCGGGACGGACCTTTCACTTTCCTGAAATGGGTCGCTGTTTGAACTTTTCGGACTGGCTGCATGAGGGCGTCTCTCACAACTATGCTGATATCCGCTCCTGAGTACCTAAAAATGCAACAAACATAAACCATATGACAATAACTACTGCTTGAAATAATGTTCGCAAAAATAGAATATTCCTCTCAGATCAAAGTAATACTAGGATGAAGTCTTACCCTTCACTTTTCTTTGCTAACTGTTTTATATCTTCTTCAGAGAGTGTATTAAAAGTGTTTCCAAGATGAAGCTTGAACATAACCATTCTTGCGGGCTCCTCAGGTAGGGGAATGTAGATTCTTTTCTCAAATCGTCTTCTAATAGCTGAGTCCAGGACCCAAGGTATATTAGTGGCACCCAGGACTAGGATGCCATCGTTATCATTTCCAACACCTGGTAAATCATTAGTCAATTAAGTACTACAACTATAGAAATGGGAGAGACAAGCTTGATGTAATACTTAAGTTTAAATGACAACCATACCTTGCATTTGTACAAGGAATTCTGTTTTGATTCGGCGAGCAGATTCAGATTCATTGTCTGATCGTGACGAGCATAGTGAATCCACTTCATCAATAAATATGATGCTGGGTTTGTGAGCTCGAGCTAACTCAAACAAGTTTTTCACCAGCTTCTCACTCTCACCAAGCCACTTTGACACCAAATCAGATGAAGATACTGAGAAGAATGTGGAATTGTTTGCTTCTGTTGCAACAGCTTTTGCAAGGTAAGATTTGCCGGTACCAGGAGGCTAGAAAAGAAAACATATGTAATGCAATCAGATATGATTATTATTGTTACCTAAGCCCAAGTACACAATATTGACAATAAACTCACTCCAAACAACAAGATGCCTTTCCAGGGTATTCTTTTTCCAGTGAAAAGGTGTGGGAATCGGATGGGCAAGATGACTGCCTCCTTCAACGCCTCTTTGGCTCCTTCTAGACCAGCCACATCTGTCCATTTGATGCAAGGTTTCTCCACCACAATGGCCCCCTCAAGTTTCGCCTGCAGTTTCTTTTTCTCAGGATCATCAGAGTCACTGTCACTATCACTGTTTTTCTTATCATCCCTGAAATTTCAAGCATAGTTATAAGATGCTCACATAGTTTTGAAAACAAATGAATATTAATGGAGATTACATACTTTGAGCTTGCATCACCAGCCTTAACTGGTTTCTTCTTATCCTTGCCTTTCTTGAGATACTCCTTCAACTTTTCAGCTCTGTCAAGGTATTGCAGGCACTTTGAACGGATGCTTTCTTTGGCTCTTTCCCCTTGTGCTTCATCTAAAAAAAAAAAAAGCAAAAACTTGATCAGTAAAATTTGATAAGCAAAAAAAGGCATGTTAACATGCTGGAGTGAAGTTCAACTAACACTTGATTGAATGAAGGAAATATTCAACACCATGCTCATACAGCCTCAATGCCTCCTCATAATTCTTGTTGCGGTCTTCCTCTGTCGCCTTTGTCACCAAATCAATTGCTTTCTGCAACAGATAGAAACATGCGATTTGTATGCAGCATGTAATGAAAGGACTACTCTCAGATCTGGACAAAGTAAACAATTAAGATGCCATACCTGAAGAGTTGTGCCTCCTGCCATTTTAAGAGAATATTATCTGAAAGGTAAAAGGAACACAAGTAAAATAGTGCTCAAAAGTTTCATGAGGGTGACTAATAGACAGTTCTGAGATACAGATAACACCTCTTTAATTTTGAAAGGTTCTGAGAGAAGGGTATGCAAAATTTTGCAATCAATGCCTATATTGAAGCCATTTTTCAAACTCGACCATTCATTTGTACTTCGAAAAGAAAAGAACAGAAAAGGCCACAAGATATTTAGGGGTTCAATTGTCAGCCTAGTGATTAGAATATCTCGGGGATAGGCTTACGTCAACACGCACTTCCAATGCCACTGCTGAGAACCACGTCGGGGATGGAAAGACTTTGATCATCGAACGATAGATCAGTAGTATTGAACGAGTACATCTAAATTAGCATGAGAAATATGCCACTTTGACTACAAAGAGCTGTCTTTACATTGCCTAACCTTGGTGAAAATCAAAACATAAACAAAAAGAGTTTCACCTGGATTCAAATCGAAATGACGCTGCTGGAGACACAATCGCGACAAGGCGTAATCGTAGAATCTACTATTAAACTCAAATAATTGCTTGGCATTAGCCAACGACCGACAGCAAATGAGGTTTTACAAAATCAACTTCGGAGACATCACGAACACGAAAGCAGTGTTGCCAGACCCGAAAGACTCGATTATCCTACCAACACCCGAAAATTATCGTACAAGCAGCAAAATTATCGTACAAAACGGAAAAACCGTATTCTTTTGCAAAACTAACTGTTTTAACGTGAATATGCTATTTTCTGTTTAAACTAAGCCCTCTCTAGTCATGTCAGGCTGCAGAAAGTCAGTAAAGCAATTTAGCGAGGTTGGCAGCGCGACGAGTGGAGAGCGCGAAGACTTGAGCCTAGCCGAGACCCGAGCCCTGCGCCTTCGTTGGCGAGGCACCCGAGCGTCGAGGCGGGGCAGAGCAGAGATCGTCTTCGGTGGCAAACCCCGCCCCATCCGCCTTTCTGCGATGCAAAATTCAAAAACAGGTGCTCAAACTTCCCAAAGTGTCACTATTTCGGTTAAATATCGCCAGTTTTTTGAAATTATCGCACTATCGTACGGATATTTTTAAGTTATCGTACGTATCGTACGGATATTTTGAAATTATCGTACGTTTAGGGGGTATCGTACGGAGTCCTATCGTACATCGTACGGGAGCCAAAATTATCGTACAAAACGATAATTATCGTACGGTCTGGCAACACTGCACGAAAGGGAAAACAAGGAGGATGACAAATCGAAGCACCGCCTTCCACGAGTGATTCTACTTCACTCTCTCCCCGGTAGGCGGCGCTTGCATCGCGAGCGTCGTCGCGCCGCGTCGCGCGCCCGGAAGTCAGTTTCAAACTCGGACAAGAAGAACGTGCGGCGGCGGGAAAACGAAAATTGGTCTCAAAATTCTTTGCAACTGACTTCGCAAGGAACGTAAGGAACGGAGGTAAGCATTCGAACTCGTTTTCGAGGAAAAGGGAACGGCCTTGGCGGCAGCGCCCGTATTCCTGCTTCCTTAATGTTTTCCTTTCGGATCATCGGGGCCGCCCATTGGTTCCGAGCGCTGCGTGTCACTCTGTCTCTCCCGCACCCTTGCGGGACGCAGCGGGACGCAGCGGGACGCCCCACGAGTGCGAGAGAGACAGAGGGACGAAAGCAGAGCTCGGGATCAGTCTGCAGGTTGGGGTGTCTTGTCTAGCTGGCCTCGTTTGGGTGGGATGCCGACGCCGACGGATGTTTTGATGCTCACACACACACACACATTCAAACACACACAAACACACTCACACGTGCACATTCACACAGACGAAGAAAGACTTGGAGATGACTGGCACGTGGCGTTCGTCCCCGGAGGCGATTCGCGTCCACGAGACAGAGCGAGACAGAGAGTGGGCCCTGCGATGTCTGGGCTGTCATTGGCCCTGGATGCACCTGCACTGCATGCATGCTGCCAGCGTTGTTGTTGTTGACGGCCAAGGGAACCCGAGAACCTGACGCCTCTGATGAGAAGTTCGTTGAGGAAATACGGAGGCGGCAGCGCGGCAGCTCTAGGCTGTAAAAGCGGCCCAGGCGCGTTGCTTGGCGCGTTGTGTTTCGTTAATTTCGAGCGAGAGAGTCCCTTTGAGGGCGCCGCCGCTACACCGGAAAAAATAAAGCTATTTTGGGCAGCGCCCTGTGCGTGACCACTGCGTGACGCGTGGTGCGTGAGCGCGAGCGTCGCCTCGGGGCGCCGCAGAATGAGAATCGTTCTCGTCGCTCTGTCTCTCTCGCGCTCATAGGGCGTTCCGTGGGTGGGAGAGAGACAGAGCGACCGAAACGACACTCGGAATCAGTGTGGTGTGGTGGCGTGGCGGCTTGTCGGTCCTTTCGGCCCTTTCGTCCTGTCGGGAAGAAAGCAGGATAGGCGAAAATAAGGACCTTCCAGTAGTTCCGCCAGCGAGCCGGCAGACCGCGGCAGCATCTGATTCCTCGTAGTGTCGTCGCTGCGTCTTTCTCTCTCTATCGCTTGCTGAAGGGGCGCCCCGCAAGGGTGCGTGAGGGACAGAACATCAGCGGGAGCAGATTTCATACCTTTTGCGTGTTCTCAGTGATTTTTGTCGGATTTTCCCTGCACCGCGGGAGGGAATCATTCTTCCAATAATTCTATAATTCTAATTTGGTCGTGCCGATGTCTACTTGCACTCTCAACATCTTATTATGATCGTTTTTATACGTATTACGATGGTTTTTCATCGTAAGGTACGCATAAATTTGCACATACGTAATATGCATAGGTTTCAGCGTAAGGTATGCATGATTTAAACGTATTACGCATGGTTTCTACATAAGGTATGCATGATTTCATCGTATTACGCATGAATTTTATTGTAGTACGTATGTTCTCATTTCAACGTAAGTTATGATGACCCTTTCATCATAAGAATCTGAGGGTGTGGTGCTCTTTAAGTACCACCTAAAACGAACTGAAAACGATAACTTTGACAATCCCTTGGTGACTGCATTACTGCCAATGCGCACTATTCTCTACTTTGAAGTCAAAATGATGTCAGTTGGCTAATTCCTTCGTCTTCATGATGATTCCAATTCCCTGAGATCGCTTGCATCTCGAGCTTCGCCACTCGGGTCCGGACGAAAGGCGACGGGCGAAGGACGAAGGACGAAGCAAGACGAATAAAGGACGGAGGACGAAGCACAGGGGAAGAATGAAGAAGGGACGAAGGGCGAAAGGAAAAGAAGAATAAAGGAAAAGGGACCAAGGACGAATAGCAGCACTAAAAAACCAAACGTGGTCTAGACCGCACCACTGGTGTGGTCAAATGGGTGCCATTTTGACCGCATCAGTTGGTGTGGTCTTTCCATGCAATGACCACACGAAACGCACTTAACGTTGTATAGACCACACCAACTGGTGGTCAAATTGGCACCCCACACCAGTTGGTGTGGTCTAGACCACGTTTGGTTTTTCAGTGAAGAAGGATATATAGGACGAAGCACAGGGGAAGGAGGACGGAGGTACAGTGGGAGCCGGCCAACTATGTGCATGCCTGCACGTTCGTGGCTCAAATTTCGCGGGTTTGGCCTTTGGTTCGGACGAGAATTGTCCCCGGTCGATTTCTTTTTTTGTGTGTGTTTGTTTGTTTGTTTGTTTGTTTGTTTGTTTGTTTGTTTGTTTGTTTGTGTGTGTGTGTGTGTGTGTGTGCGCGTGTGCGTGTGTGTGGGGGGAGGGGCACAAGTGGGCCACGCACCTGTGTGTCTGGCGGTGTCTGGAAGGTCTGGAAGGCCTGGAGGCGTGGAAGGGCCCGGAGGGACGTCCCGACGGCCGCCTCAAAAACCTGTCATATGTGAGCAAACATGCCGCATCGGAGCGACACGCCTCGTAGCCGTAGCGGGAGTACCGTCTCCGTCGCACTTGCAGAGAGTCCCCGAGGGATGCGAGAGAGACAGAGCGACGAAACGAAACTGCCCCGCGAGTCCGCGGCGGCCTGACCAGGGCCTGACGTGCCGCACGCCGCGCACGCCGTGCTGCCAGCAGCCTGCAGGTGCGAGGCGACCCTAATGGAGACATTAACACGCGTCAATGGTCATGGCGGCGTGGGCCAAAAAAAATTAAATGTTGTCGCATTCGAGGCGGGCAGCCAGGCAGGCAGCCAGCGCGGGGCCCCTGTGGGGTAGGCAGGCCCGCCACGCCAGTGTGTGCGGCGGGCTGGCCTAGGCTGCGGGGCCCCTGTGGGGTAGGCAGGCCCGCCGCGCCAGTGTGTGCGGCGGGCTGGCCTGGGCTTCGGGCGGTGGCCGGGTGACGAGACACTATCATCCATCAAGTGACATTTTGATAATATTCGACGACGTTTTTGCTCATGAATAGTATTTATTTAAGAGGCTAAACTGATTTGTCATGACAAAATCGAGTTTTTTTAAATTTCGAAAACGAATGAAAATGTTAACTTGCTCTCTAATGTCAATGCCTCTTGAGCGTCAATACGTGATGGCAGAAAAGCTCAGTACGGGTCTGAGAGTGAAGGCCGGGGAGGCGGCGGTAGTGAAATTTTCACCCACTTGAGTCCAGTCCAGAAAGAGATATTTCCCTGTCTCGCTCGCACCCGCGGCGTCGTGGCGGCAGCGGCGGCAGCGGCGGCGGCCCGTCTGGTGGCTGCGCGCCGTGATTATCGGGCCTGCGTGGCGTGGCGTGGCGTGCCGCGGCGCGTCGCTCGAAATAAGCCTCGGGCCTGCCCGCGGGCCCGCGGGGCTCAGAGAGGGCTCAGGCGGCTCGAGTCGTGTGTACGACGACCGAAATCCGGGCGGGAAGGAAGTCATGGATGTCGCGGCACGGCACGGCACGGCACGGCACGGCACGGAATGGAAACGGGCGAGGACAAAACAAGATCGCGCCGCACGAGGAGTGAAACAAGACGACAAGGGACCGCGAAAGCGGCGTACAAATAAAGCATTTCCCTGGCACCAATTTGCGCGGACAAACGGTGGCAGCGGGACTGGCGCGTGCGTGCGACAGGGGCCCTGTCACGGGGCGCGGCGCACAGTGAGCCGGAAGACCGGTGGAGGCGGCCCAAACTCTAGACGCGTTTTGAGCTATAGAGTCACTGTGCAGGACTCGAACCGAACGTGTGACCCCACCAATGAATTCCTCGTTCGGAGAGCAATCCATTGGTGGGGTCACACGTTCGGTTGGAGCCCCATTTAGCGACTCTGGAGCTAAAACGCGTCTAGAGTTTAGGCCGCCTCCACCGGTCTTCTGGCCCACTGTGCGGTGCGGCCCTCGACGAACGAGGACCGACGAGGACCCGCCGGCAGGGCGATTCAGAAGAGTCGTCTCGTCGCCCTGTCTCTGTCACACTCATGGGGCTCTCCACGCGAGAGAGAGAGACAGAGCGACGCACCGATCTTCTGAATCCCTCGGCAGTCGCCACGCAACGTCATCGTCCTTCAGGCTGACGAGGAACTTCACGGCGGATGGCGTTAATCCGATGGACAACAACGTCTTTACTTCGCTTTTTGGAATCTCTTTTTCTCTCTTTCAAAAACGAAAATAAAACCATCAAAAGACAAGGCGTAATTTACTTACTTTTACGCACGTTCGACGCCTTAGAGTCACGTGCCCCGACAGGTCCAATCTTCTTCCTTAATTT